CAAAAGAATGTTGTCTTTTGTTGTTTGTTTGTTCTTTTTTTTTTTCTTTTTTGGTTGGGTTTGGCTTTTTTGGTGCTGGGGATTGAACTCAGGGCTTTGCATGTAAGCATGAGCTCTGCCACTGAGCTAGCTCATGCCCTCAGCCCCAAAAGAAAGACTTTCTGCAAGAATTCAATTTTAAGAGAAATTTCAAAAATAGGAGTTAATTGAATTTGGCATTGAAAAGAAAAGTGAACCATCAAATGGTATGAATCAGCTGTCTGGGAAGATGAGGAAATGGCTCTTACCTGAACAGAGAATTGGGATTAAGGCCAGTTGAGGTGCATTATGGGATTAGTAGGGCTTGGAACTGGGAAATCAATTTATGGATGGCTAGAGTGCCAAATATAGCTGAGGTTTAACAAAACTATGGGCCACTGTAATAACAGTCAAATCTGGTTTCTAAGTTATGTGTAGCCACAAGAAAAAAAAAATGCTTTAGAAACTTTAGTCTTCCCAGCTGAGATGCCAATGCTATTAGTTTCTCTCTCCAGTTTTAAGAAACAGGTGAATTTAGGGTAAAGGAAATCATATTTCAAGGTAGACCTTTAAAACTGTAGACATTGCTGGCTTTGTGTAGACATTTAAGTTTTTGCTGGAATTTCCTACACAAAGGCATTCCTTGCCATCTCTGAAGACTGAGTGCTATTACTGTGGAGAAAATTCATATTCCCTCCCTTTTCACTCTTCACCTCCTGCACACATGTAGTCTGAATTTTCTTGTGTCTCCCCTCCCTCAAATTCGTAGGTTGAACTCCTAACCCACAAGGTTATGGTTTTAAGAGGTAAGGTCTTTGGGGTGTGATTAGATCACAAGGGTGAAACCCTCCTAAATGGGATTAGAGAAGCCCCCGAGAGCTGCCTTGCCCTCTTCTACCATGTGACTCATGGGTGCAAAGACACTCTCTGTGAACCAGGAAACAGTCTTACCAGACACCAGATCTGCTAATTCCTTGATCTTAGACTTCCAAGCTCCAGAACTGAAAATTAAATTTCTGTTGTTTATAAACCAGCCTATCTACACTGTGTTATCACAGCAACCCAAATGGACTGACACACATGCGTACTGTGTAATTAGGTTTGGTCTTTAATCTCCTGTCATGATCTGTATTTCATTAAATGTGGTTCCTTGGTGTGTGGTTAAAAACATTTCCAGGTTCTATCCCAGATTTTTTTCACTAAAGTCCCTGTGTGTGATTCCAAAGTTGAAAAATACCCCTGAGTAGAGTCATTTACTTTGGCTGAAAAAGTGTTTACATTGAAATGCTTAGAAAATCATGATTGCTGTTACCACTACATCATTGTTCTTTACGTCACCAAGTTTCACTAGTCCTCTCTTTTGGGTCACTCAGTTTCCCCACTTGTCCTTATCAAGGATGTGAGCTGTCTTTGAGTTGTACCCATTGCACAATGCAAGCTGGAAGCACATGTCTCTCTGAGCACCTCAAAAGTACCTTCTCCCAATGGGTGCATAGGAAGCTGTGGGACCCCACAATTGTCCCCACACCCTAGAGGGGAACAAGGCCTGCAGAGCCCAACCCAGACTGAAACTTAGACTGTGCCTCTTCCACAAAATCCTTAGGAATGACCAAGAGGGTAACAGCAGGGTGAGTCTACTTGGACTGTTAAGCTCATTCACCACTCCAAGAGTCATTTTGTCATCTCCAAAAAAGTTTCCATGAGGTTAACAGGACAGATCCTTCCAACTATAAAATTCTGTGACACCGCATTGAACTCAAAAGAGAAAATAATGAGTAGCTGTGTTAATGGAAATAAACTAGAAATCTGTGCAGTGCTGGGATAGTTTATTAGTCAGGGTTCTCCAGATGAACAGAACAAATAGAATGTATATATAAAAGGCAATTGTTTTATATAATCAGAAGCTGGGTAATCCCACAGTGACTACTGTCCTGCTAGAGAGCCAGGGAAACCAGTTGCTGCTTGGTCCAAGAAACTGTAAGCCTCAGCACAAGAAAGAGCAATGATACAGCCCTAGTGTGAGACTAAAACCTGGAGTGCTGGCGAGTTACTGATGCAAGTCTGCATTCAAAGGCTGCAGTCTGCTTCCTCAGGAGATGGAAGCAGCAAAATCTCCCCTGCTCAAGAAGAGTCAAGTTCGTGGGAACATCCTCCTCCTGCCTTGTTCCATCCAAGCTCCCAGTCTATGGGATGGTGCCACCCACACTCAGGCTGGCTCTTTCCCTTTCAGATCACTGACCCACATGCCAATCATCTTTGGAAACACCCACCCAGAAGTGTGCATAACAGTTTTCTAGGTGTCTGTCAATCCAGTCAAGTTGATACTCAAGATTAACCATCACAGGATGGAGCACGTCTGTAGTACAAGTATTTGGGGTCAGGTACTGGGGAGATCCTTCTGCATTCATTTTCTCTTTTGCACCTGATTCTGTCATCCAACACCTGTGCCACTCTTAAAACAAAGGAAAACCCAAAAGTTGTTTTTTGGGTTTTTTTCTTTTTTAATCAGTAGTACCTGTGGAAAAGTACCTTGGGAACACTTCCCAGGGAGGCTGAGGGTAAAAGGTGCAGGAATGACATTTCACATTAAAAGACAGCCTATTCTTAAGTAATAAAGTTTAAATTGTGTTGAGTGATGCAGTCACTTGAACATTTCCCCTAGGGTTTTGTGCCCTATTTTAGTAACAAAAAAAAAAAAAAATCAGCTCTTTCCAACCATGCTCTTAAAATCAGCTTTCAAAAGAAATGAAACTTCTAAAATTCCAGGAGGGAAGAGCTTGCCCTTATAAGGTGCCAATAACCTCATTTGAAAAGTAATTTCATGTGTTAGAGAGGTAATTCTCTCCTTGTCTGTGTGACAATTTAACAAGACTCTAACAGATTTATCTAGCAACTTGAACAAGTTGCAATAACAGCAGTGAGTTGGCAATTTAGGTGCATTTAAGAAGATCTGAACATACTGCAAAGTCCTGGGGTGCATTTTTTTTTTCTTTTCCATGATCTTGAGGTTCTTGAGAAAACCATGAAATTCTCTCAATATGGAGACATGCCAAAGTGAGGACTTTTGAGTGTCCTCTTGAACTGCCATCGTGGACTTCCTAGTTATAAACTTCCTACACACACACACACACACACACACACACACACACACGGAAACTCGTTGGTGGACTGAGTGCTAACTAAGGACAAATGACCAGCACCACAGCAGGAGGGTGATGGAAGGAACAGATGCAGGTATTGACACTAATGGGTGGTTTTCACAGAAATAGAATTATAAAAAATCAATCTCTAATCAAAGTTTCTTGCCCTACAATATTTTAAAAACCCTAATAGTTTCACATAACACAAAAAATTTCCCTTGGTGTTAGAAGTGAAAATAACAACAAATCTACTTTTAAAGATCTCAGTTGGCTTTATTTGTAATTACAGAGTCAGGTGGCAGCCTGCATCCAAAATTATATAGAATGTTCCACCCCTGTGTAGCCAGAGAAAAGGAGATCAGATACGGAATATAGAAGTGAGGTGGAGACAGCCCTATTGGTTACAGCTCATGTCTGTCTTCTTTGAATGTTGTCTGAGTGGTTGGCCATTTGTGATTGTCTAAGATGCACTTACTTTCTGAGAGTAGGTGACAGTCTGTTTAGGTTAGGTTACAGTGCACTGGGCATGGACAAACTTTGAAGCCATGCTTAAAGCATGAATAGAGGCAGCTTCAGACCAAATTTCACACTGACTTGGCTGAGGCTGGCATCATGTTTTCACAGAAATATGAGAATAGCTGGTTGGAGTCCTCAATCATCCTGATTTCTTTTTACACATAATCATGAATTAGTAGAACATGAGGTGGTAAAAATACTTTATACACTGTCTTTGTTTTACTCAATTATAGTTCATTTCACTTGACTAATGCAAAAGATAGAGAACTATGTTTTACAGGGCAATTTAATCCATTTTTGAAATTTTTATTCCTCATGACTGATTAGTTCTAATCTCCTACTCTTAAGACATTTATCATGTCTGGCCCCCAGATTCTTATTGAAACCGGCTAGTGTGTTCCTGTCTACAAATGCATATCCTCAACTATTTTATCCACTTCTCTATTATAGAAATGATTGAAATAATTAACATTTCAAAATCCTGGTTTATCTGTACATCTTTGTCCCTTTCTTACTGTAGGAAAGCTATTTTTATTGTTTTCTTCTGATAGCAGCTCATCTCAGTTGGCTACCTAGATGCTTAGCTCTGCCTGCATGCACCCACCACTCCCATGCCAACCCACCCCTGACTGGCAGCACAGTGTGATGGGGAGGATGGCCTGGAGGATCTCCCACCAGATCTGCCAGCTCCCATCTGGCCACTCCCAGGGTCTGACAGTCAGAAGTCCAGGCTAAGGTTAAAGCTGCCTCCTAAATAAGAAGTCAAGGAAATATTTTTTTGTTTATCTGAATTCTAAACACTAAGGCACCTATTTGTTATGTTTTTCTGTTAATCTTATAATGATCAAATGCTCCAGTGGACACTTTTCCTATGTCTTTGAAAGTTCAATATTTACCATGTTGAATGGCAGCTCTGTAAGGGACTCTATAGAAAGGTGAAATTAAATGTGTGATTTGTAATCCAATTCTCTTGTTAGGTTATGGATTTTAAAATAAATAAATAAATAAATAAATAGAAAGAAAGAAAACAATCTTTTGGCAAATCTTAAAGCAAATAATTATGGAAGAAGGAATTGTTCTCTGAGGTTTCTAGGAATTTTTGAAGTGTTTATTCTGCAACAGCATTTGGTTCAGAAAAATATTAAGAGGTTGTTTTGTTTCTTTTTTACATCCTTGATAAGAGCTTCTAGAAAAAATTGAAATAAGCGATCTAGATGAGAGCAAAAATGTCATTATTTGATTAAATAAAAAAGATACCTGAGATGTATTATAAAATGTTCTACCAGCCATATTTTCAGTCCAGTGAAACCAGAACCTTTCTTCTAGACTTTAGAAAGAAACTGGAAGTTAATCCGTGATGAAGGACTTGCAGTGATGGATAAAGCCAAAGGTCTCTTCCTGCCTGAAGATGAAAACCTGAGGGAGAAGGGTGATTGGAGCCAGTTCACACTGTGGCAGCAAGGTGAGCTCCTGTCTTCTAGACTGTTCTTTGTAACCTATTGACATCTTAGGAACATCCCTGACCTTCATTTGCTTCTATAAAATATAGATCATGCCACCATGGTGAGAGATGTTGGGTAAGCAACACAGTGAGTGACAAGACAGTAATAACTACTGAGTTCTTCAAAACTATAAATGTTTCACATTCAACTTTATAATTCTTGAGCTTAATCCACACCCAGGCACATAGATAGAGCTTCAATATGTGTGGTCAATGAGTTAATATGTAAATCTATCTTTAAAATGAGGAGATTTGAACTTTAAGGTTCTCTCCAGTTCTCTTGGAAAGTCAACTTAACCTCTGTTACAAATAGCCATATAAAAGTAAATCCATTTGGATGATCAAACAGCATGTGGTGCACATGTTTAGCTACACAATCAGTTTATATTAAAGGACAGTAGCTTATCTCAATCATGCTTTCAGAACAGTTCCTATATAAGAAGAACTACTTCAGTAATATTTTTGAGAATATGTCAATTAAGAGAGAGATCACATGATTTCAAGTAACTCTTATCAGCTTTCTCCAGCACGATTTTTTTTTTAAGGGAGCTATATGATCCATATGTGGACAACATGCAAATTTCTCTGTGGTGTGTCACTAAAATGAATTAATTCTATTAGCACTTAAGCATTCATCTCATACTTCAGTTTCATTAATATTTTTTATGCTTCATAGAAGCTCTCAAGCTTCCCAGGGCAATGCTTCAGAATAGCATGCATCCTTAAGTAACTTCCAGAAAATTTACCAGAGAAAGGTGCTCAGATAAAGTAGAAATATGCAAAGAATTATGGAAATGTAGGAGGATTAAGCAAGGAAGAAAATAATAAAGAAAATAAGTTGGCTGGAGACAACATTTGACTTTTAAATTTTTACATAGTTTCCTTGTACCTGATTTTCCATGAACTCTCTACAATAATTTCCTATGTTTTTTACTTTATTAGTATCTTTGTTAAATTCTTCCCATGCAGTGAAATTTGCATGTTCCTTTTTCTTTCCTAACTGTAACAAAGTTCTACCTATCCTGATATTTTAAAAAGCTCATAAAATTGCTTCTCACCGTATTATGGTTTTTTAAATTTCTGCTGGTATATGCTTTCTTCCTTGTTTTGTGTTGTTGTTGTTGATAGTTGTGGTGGTTTTTTAAATTGTTCTTTTAAACCTTTTGATTGGAACTCCTTAGTAAATTTATTTTCATTCTTTCTTCTCTTCTAATAGAGGCATTAAGGCTATGGACTGATTGATAGATGTACCTTTGGATTCATTCCATAAACTATTAATATATGGTGTTTTTATTTGAGATTTTACTAAAAACAACATTTCTGTCCTGATTCACAAATAATTTAGGGGTATGTGTGTGTGAGAGAGAAAGAGAGAGAGATGAGCATGAGTTTCAATTTGTTGTAGTTCCTCCATCTTTTAAAAATTAATTTCTAGTTTTACTATCACTTTAAAAGAATATAAATCACATAGTTTCTATCTTATGAAAATTTATGAAGGTTCATTGCGGGCTTCTGTTTGTGGTTTTGGACTTTGAGAAAGAATCCAGGAACTATTTTCTGAAAACAAATTAACAGTGCAAAAAGAGTAATTTTGAAAGCAAATAGTGTCATAGCTTGCACAGAACTAGGAGGAATCTCTGAAGGTACTTGCCATACCAGGTGCTGAGGCTAAGAAACAGAAGAGGCTGTCCTTGGATTGAAGGAGAGGAAGAAGACATGGGGAAGGGAGGTGGCAGGACAGGGTGCTATACTGAGAGCCCAAATTCAAAGAGGCCAATGAATATCTGGCTAAGCGAAGACTTCAAGGTTGTCTAATTAATTAGGAAAGCATAGTGCTGGGTAGTTAAAGTCCATGAAGCTGTGACTGGGTGAGTTTTGTTTATATCCAAATAGGAAGTGAAATCATGGTAGATCTCTGTTCTCCGCTTGAATTTTGTCCTCCTCGATATTCATATGTGGAAGCCCAATTCCCAGTGTGTCTGCATTTGGAGATAAGTCCTTAAAGGAGGTAGTTAAGGGTATAGGAGGTCGTAAGGGTGGGGGTCTGATCAGATAGGATTGGAAGAGGAAAACATACTAGGGATATGCATACACAGAAACAAAGCCACATGAAACACAGAAAGAAGTCTGCTGCCTTCTGTAGCCAAAGGAGAGGCCTCAGAAAAAACCAAACCTGCCAACATCTTGATCTTGAACTTCCATCCTCCAGCACTATGAGAAGATAAACTTCTGTTTAACCACCCAGTCTGTGGTATTTTGTTATTGCAGCCCAGCAGACTAATGGGATCGCTATGTAGTATAATCAGTACTGAACTGCAATACATTTTGGATAATAAGCTTTTCAGAATTGAAGAAAAAAGATATATCAGCAAATCTAAGTAATGAATATTTCTTCACAATATGTTTTCAATCACGGAGCTGGGGTTGTAGCTCAGTGGTAGAGCACTTGCCTAGCATGTGTGAGGCCCTAGGTTTGATCTCTAGCAACATATATACACACACATACACACACACACACACACACACACAAACTAAATTGCTATGTGAATATCATGGAACATCTATTTTGCCAGCATTTTAATAATTGTCCCAAGCAGTGACTAAAATATAGAGTTAGTAATTATTGCTCAGTCACATTTTCTAGAATCCATGCGAAATGGTGTTAACTGAGCAGTTATCTGCTCAGGTTTAATTGCTGAATCCTTCTCAAAAGCCTTGTTCTAGGCAACCACTTTCAACTGATCAGAGTTATCACACAAGATGGAACATGTTGTCATTCTAGCAGTAGAGCCTTGAAACTTTGGAAACATATAACCAAGTCCCTACTTTATGAATGTGCCTCATAAAGCATGGCCACATCTAAATGATATATTCAAGTCATTCTTTCAGATCTGTGTTAGCAGTTAGAACTTTTCCTGGGGCCATTAAAACACACACACACACACACACACACATACACACACAGAGTTTACTAGTACTTGGAAATTACTTTAAGCTTGCTGAGGGTTCCTCCTTCAGTTACATTGAATTAGCTGGTCTTCCCCTGTGCAAACCTTCTAATCCTGATGTAGCAAGATGCAAAATTATACTTCAAAGCACAGCATTTGAAAACCACACTCCTAACTTACAGTCCTTACTGGGCATGTCCCTGTATCTCTGAGCCTGGAATTTTTCATCTGAAAAATGACAATGAAAGTAGTGCCTTAAATATAAGGTAGCTTTTTCCTAGGGTCAATGATCTGACATACTGTTTTCTAATACATGACAGTGATACTACATTTTTATTACATAATAGCAACACATTTTCTAATAGTGTTTTAGTCAGCTTTTTTTGCTACTGTGACTAAAAGATCTGACCAGAACAACTGTAAGGAGGAAAAGTTTATTTGAGGGCTCACAGTTTCAGAGGTCTAAGTCCATTGAAAACCAGCTCCATTTCTTGGGGCTGGAGGCAAGGCTGAACATGGCAGAAGAGTGTGGCAGAGGGAAGAAGCTCACATCATGGTGCTCAAGAAGCAGAGAGAGAGAGAGAGAGAGAGAGACTCCACTCTCCAGATAGAAATATATACCCCAAAGCCACATCCCAGTTCCCATCTCATCCAGCCACACCCTAACACTTCATTTAATCCCATCAGGGATTAATTCACTGATTAGGCTAAGGCTATAACCCAATCATTTCTCCTCCAAAACTTTGGATTGTCTCTCTCACACATGAGCTTTTGGGGACACCTCACATTCAAACCATAACAAATAGTTAACAGTAATGGAGAATTGGTCTTGTAGTACAGTAGTGGAGAGGTAGTCTTGGCTGAAAGCTGAGTTCTGAGTGAATTAGATTTCCCAGTTCTTTGCTCTGCCAGTTACTGCGAGACCTCTCTGTGTGTAGGTACTTCTTCTGTAAAACACAGCACTGGTGCCTTTATTACTGGGTGTTGTGGACATCATATTGGTCAGTCTAAGCATGTGGAGCAGTTCCAAGCCCAGAGTGAGCACTAGGGAAATCTTACATTCTGATCACATGTTAATATTTACAATTACCCATGTCAACTTATGACTGTGGAGCATCTACTGCACAGATTTCTCCCCTAGAGAGAATCTATGTTTTCCAAACAAAAACAACAACAACAAAAAGTACAGGTTGAATATCCCTTATCCAAAATGTTTGAGAAGTGTTTAGGATTTGGGAAATCTTGCATAGACTTTACTGATTGAATATGCATGATATGAAAATCCAATATTTTTGATCATCATGTTGTCCCTCAATAAGTTCTGAATTTTTTATTTTAAGGAGGATGCTCAACCTGAATGTGTCTAAAAGTCTAGAGGTGCTCTCTGGTCCAGCACTGTCCCCATGGAAATTCTAGTGACATAATCCATTTGGTTACCCATCTATTATTTATCTTTCATGTGAGGCACACATGTTCTCCTGGTAGCACAGGCACAACCCTCACCCCTGTGTTTGTGGGAAGTCCAGCTGGCTCTGGTTGCTCTTGAAGCCATTGGCCCCATCAGCCACTGCCTCAACAGCACAGAACCCAGAATGAGGGACTCCTGCCAACCCATCCCCATCATAGGAAGTCCTGGAAAGCTGGAGTTAAAAATGCTCCCTGATGAGTTGTACATTTATATAATATTTGTTCAATTTATCATTCCATTCATTTGAGGTACTCCATTAATATCTAAAAATAACATTTTACTAACATTTTACTCATAAGAGGTAAAAATATCACTTAGGAAAAATGACTATATAAGTTGTTCTCTACAGTGTTAAGGTCCATTTGAGGCAAATTCTTCTAGGTTGCATCTGTTGTGACTCTCATTTTGCTCTCAGTATATGATTATCTTAGGACACTACTAACACTAATTAAATAAAATTAAACTCAGCTTTAGATGTAGCAGTCCTTTTGCATTTTGTACAGGGAATTAAAATATTTGTCTTTAAAAAACAATCCATCGTTTTACTCCTCTATGAGAGCAAATGATGTTGCAAACATTATGAGTACATCTTCCCTAATGAACGGTGATTTTATGGTTGTGAAGAAATTTGCATGGTTCAGGATACTTAAGACTGTCCCAGAATCTTGTTCCTGTTACTATTACTCATAGAAAACATCATTTGTCAAAGACTTCTTCATCCTCCACTTTTAAAAAATGTCATTCTCTATCACCATTTAAAGAATGATCTGTAAATGAAATAGTCATTAAATTCCAATTTAAAATATTGTTTTGTAACTTTTCAATATAGTCCTAGAATTTAGGTTATATTATATAATTATAATATAATGGATTTTCCTTCCATAGAGGATATATTATTTCCTTATGGTTGGTGTAACAAGTTACCACAAACTTGGTGACTTAAAAAGCACACACATTTATCATCTCACAATTCTGGGAGTCAGAAGTCTACAATGGGTCTCACTGCTAAAATTAAAGTATCATTCCTGTGGAGGTTCCAGCTTCTAGACGCTTCCCATCTTCCTTGATTTGTGTTCTCCTTCCACCCTCAAAGCCAGCAATGATCATGCCAAGTCTTTCTTATCCTGTATCACTCTGACACTTCTTGCTGCTTTTATATGGGGCCACTCCAGTTAATCCAAGATAATCTTATTGTAAGGTCAGCTCACTGGAAACCTTGATGCCATCTGAAACTTTAAGTCCCTTTTGCTCTGTAATATAACATATTGACAGGTCCCTGGGATTAGCATGTGGGCATCTTTGAGAGGGGCCACTGTTCTGCCTGCCACTGGAGAAACAGTAACTATTCAACATGTGCTTTTTGCCCCTTAGATGTCCTGAGTCTAACCCAATGCTGACTGGAGAATTCAGATCCTTGCTCTTCCAAGCTCTGTCTCTTAGGGGAAGACCCTTTGTCTTCATGAGTTCACTCCTCCTTCATATTCCTGCAGTGAACTTGACTATTTACATCACTTACAGTCCAAATGAGATGAATGTAAGTTTTACTACAATTTCTTCCTTTTTTTCTCTGTCTTTGAAACAGGGTCCCACCATGTTGCTCAGGCTGGTCTCAAACTCCTGGACTCAAATGATCCTCCCACTTCAGCCTCCTAAATTGTGGGTACATGTCATGGCACCCGGGTTGTGATTTGTGTTTAACAATGGTTTTCATCATTTATTCTTCTAGGAAGAAAAAATGAAAATGCCTGTAAAGGAGCTCCTAAAACCTGCACTTTACTAGAAAAGTTCCCTGAGACAACAGGATGCAGAAGAGGACAGGTACCAGAGTGTTGTCAGCGCTGGGGAGAAGAGGGTTGTTAGGAACAAGGGAGATCTGACCTTTACAAAGATATGATTCTTTCCTATAAATGCTTCTTTTTTTTACTCACTTATTAATGAAATATAATTTCATGTCACTGGTGTCATAAATGAGGGTGGAAAATGTCCAGTTCTATCACTTTGTGGAAAATGTGAGTGCTTTATTTTAGTTTGCTTCACAAAGAAGATGTGAATATAAATTGTGAGTCTTACATGGATTCTGATCCAAATTCACGGTAGTTTTGTTCTGTCACTTTAATTTAGCAATTGCTCCACACGTTGACAAATGGCCAATCGAGTGTCATATTTTCTATGCAGATCAAGTATTCCATCATGCACCCTGGAACTCATGTGTGGCCCCACACAGGACCCACAAACTGCAGGCTTCGGATGCACCTGGGCTTGGTGATTCCCAAGGAAGGTTGCAAGATCCGGTGTGCCAATGAGACCAAGTATGTTTCCTTTGTCATTCTTTCTCTCTCTCTTCTCTTTCCTCTGTCTGTCTCTCTTATTTATTTATTTATTTATTTATTTATTTTTGTGTGTGTGTGCATGGTGCTGAGGATTGAAACCAGGGCCTTGTGTATTCGAGGCAAGCACTTTACCAAATAAGCTATATCCCCAGTCCTCCCTTTGTCATTTCTCTCTCCTCCATTACCTCTTAGGATGAGTGTTTGCTCCAACAAAGCTACATCCACACTCTTCAGTCTCTACCTATTCTTTGTGCTCCCTGCTGGTCTGGAGATATTCTAGGACTGACCTTCTTGGTCATTTCTCCCCAGAGCACTCATGTGGCAGCTGAACCTTCTTGCTTCTAAGCAGACTTGCATTCAGAGTCTAATAACATGTACTGAGCCATACAGTATTGTGCATCATGCTAATGGTTTGACAGCTTGAATTATCCATAAATACAAGAACTCCTCCTTCCTGAAGAAAATGCCTCGTGATGTTTACATTTTGCTCTAGAGGAGGCAGCACGGTGCAATGGAAGCTGGCTGCCTTTTTTCCAAATCCCAGCTCTGTAACCTAATCCTGTGTAACCTTGGCCAGTTACTTAATACCATCAAATCTCAGCCTCCTTGCTTATGAAATCATCAATGATATTATCTACTTTGCAGGGTTGTTAGAGGGATTAAAGGAAATAATGCCTACAAGGCACTTAATCCACGTTCTAGCCTCAGCAGGGATGTGGTGAACGTTAGTTCTCTTTCTCCCCTCCCCCTTCCTTTCTTAATCGCAGCAGCTTCATTCACAACTCTCTGAATGAACCACACTTGCTCTGGGCCTATTATCCTGACACTTGCTTCCACTGGAAAGTCTGGCTCTTCACCTGTTAGTCGGCTTTTTGTCTCTGAGATCAAACTACCCGACAAGAACAGCTTACAGGAGGGAACGTTATTTTTTTGGCTCATGGTTTCTGAGGTGTTAGTCCAAGGTCAGCTGACTCCCATTGTTCTGGCCTGAAGCGAGGCAGAGTATCATGGTGGAAGGATATAGCAGAGGGAAGTTGCTCAGCTTATGGCAGCCAAGCAGCAGAAGGAGAGCAGAAGCTGGGGAGAGGGGATGAGGACAAAATATAGTCCCTAAGGCATGTCCCCAGTGACCTACTTCCTCCAGCCATTCCCTGCCTGCCTACACTTATCACTCAGCAGTGTATTCTAATTACTAATTCATCCAATGAATTAATCCACTGATGAGAGGTATAGCTATCATCATCTAATCTTTTTCTAAAAGGCCTACCTCTAAACATTACTGTATTGGTACCATATTTTCACAATATGAGATTTGGGGGAAGGGCAATTCCAGATTCAAACCATAACATCTACCCAAAATAAACTCATTACTAAGATCCAATTTAGTTTCATAAAAATAGAACCTGTCTTCTGACTTGTTGGAGTGTGCATCGTGTATCCCCTTAGTGATCTTGCTACTCTTTGTTATTGCTTTTTATTAATTAGCATATGTTAATTTTTCTCAACAATGAGCTATAATCTCCTAGAGATCAGAAGCTGAGTTGTGATCTTGATAGGCATTTCTTATTGTCTTTAGTAGAGGTCAGAATGGAGGGTGAATGTTCAGAAGGATTCATTTGGTTGTTGGAAGATACCTGCCCTGGGTTTGGCACAGCAGCACAAGGGGCTGTGGTTGAGGCAGAGATGAATCACGCATGCTCTGCTCTCCCAGACATCCTCAGATTAGGACGATAACAGTGGATCTGATGTCAGGAGAGCCATTAGGATGGCATAGATAAAAATGATATGCATGGGTCAGTGGGCAGGGAACTCACTTGCATTTGAGGTTTGAGAGTTTTGACAGTGGTTGTTTCTAAAGACGAGAGGGGTTTGAACATTGAAAGCTGAGGAAGTAGCACATTGAAGAGCAGTGTCTATTAAATCACAGAGGCCAAACATTATGGGCCAAATAAGAAGAACATTGAGTGGTTTAGCAATCACCAGTGGAAGGTACATAAAGAGTAAGGCCAGAAAGTAAATGAATATGTTAGAAGTTCAAGGGGAAAAAAAAGTTCAAGAAAAAGAAAATGAGTTAAGTGTTTATACTTATTTTACTAAATTGCTGTTTGGACAAAATGGTATAAATATCTAAGAGTTGCCTGGAAACAGAGTTCTGGCACTCAGGAGAGAAGTCCAGTGTAGAGATAGAGATTTGAGAGGCAAGCTTAGCGGGAACTTCTAGAAGAAGCTTGAAGAACAATTGAGTGATGATTAGAGGGTAAAAAAAGAAAAAAAAAAAAAAAACCTATGAAAACTTCTCATCAAGCCTTCAGAAATTCAGTTTGGGTCCACAGGTTCTTTCTGCCAAAGGGTAGAGGGACAGGGATGTGGCAGGAACCCAGGGTATATAAAGAGGAGGTGAGAGGATGATATAGAAGCAAATTTGGACAAACTAAACACTAAGAGCATAAGGCCATGAAGATAGAAAACAGCAGGCCTCATCTTCGAAGTAGTACTTATTGGTTTCAGAACTTGCATTCACTTTTGTTCATGCTGAGCTTCTCTCTCTCTCTCTCTCTCCTCTCTCTCTCTCTTTCTCTCTCTCTCTTTCTTCCCCCCCTTCCTTCCTGTCTTCCTCCTCTCCCTCTCTCCCTTTCATCTCTCCTTTTCTTCTTTCCTTCTTTTCTATTTCATGTCTATTCTGCTTATAAATATTAGATAAAAATCCCCTTGAGTACTGGCCAGGAGAAGGAAGGTATGAAACTGATCCTAGTCTTCAGGATTTTCTCCTGAGACAGGAGAAAGCCCAGATTGAAAGAATGAATATGGTGGTCAAGCAGGGGAGCAAGTGGACAGCACCAGAGGCTCAAATGTTAAGTCCTTGAGAGCCAACATTCTGGGAGACTTTTCCAGGAGCACATCGGTAGGTTCATTCCCCCCTCCAGACTTCCAGCATGACCTCATGACCATGCTCAAAAATGAAAACCACTGCCAGCATCTTCTCTGAAGTTTAAAACACTTCCAGCTTAACAGTTTTCACCTACAGTTTCTCACAGCTCACCCAGAAGGGGAGCTTGAATGTGAGCCTTAGCTTAGCAGCCCCTCAGCTTCTGTTACGCTAAAATGCAACCTAGTTCAAGTGACAGTAAGGAGATACTGATAGCAATAATTTGCAGATGGTATACTTCGAAAATTCATGGTCGTTATGAAAAAACACTTACTACTACCCACCTGCCTATTTGGAGGACAGGGAAGCAAGTTTGTGGAGGATATGACCTTTCAGGTTCTCTCATGCCTAAAAAGCCAGGGAGTGCCATGCCCCTGTGTCCCATCATGACTGCCTGTCAGTAGTCCTGTTCCACATCTCTTTTTGCACTTGCAGTAAGCCATGTTACATCTTCCTCCTCCTTAATCCATATTTATATTGGTACATTATGATTATACATAATGGTGGGGTCTGTGTTACATATCCATACATGCACATGATATTACAGTATAATCTGGCCAATATCATTCCCGATTTCTCCTTTTCCTCCCCTCCTCCCTCCCACTGGTCCCCTTTCTCTATTTTACTGATCTTCCTTTGACTTTCGTGAGATTTCCCCTACCTTTCTTTTCCTTTTATCTCTCTAGCTTCAACATATGAAAGAAAACATGATTCTTGATTTTCTGAGTTTGGTTTATTTTACAACATAATGTCCTCAAGTTCTATCCATTTTCTTGCAAATGAAATATTTTATTTTTTATGGTCACATAAAACTCCATTGTGTATACATACCACATTTTCTTTATCCAGTCATCTGGTGATGGACGCCTAGGCTGGTTCCATAAATTGGCTATTGTGAATTATGCTGTTATAAACACGGATATGCATGTGCTGTTATAGTGTGATGACTTTAATTTTTTAAGATACCAAAGAGTGGTACAGCTAAGTCATATGGTAGTTTCATTCCTATTCTTTGGAGGAAACTACATACTGATTTCCATATGTAAAAGTGTTCATTTTTTTTAAATTTTATCTGATGGCCATTTATATTTTTTATTTTGAAAAGTGTCTATTTAGTTCATTTGCCCACTTATTAATTGGCTATTTGGTTTTTTATTGTTACATTTTTTGAGTTCTATGTATATTCTGGATATTCATCCTCTGTCAGAAAAGTAGCTAATAAAGATGTTCTCCCATTCTCTGGGTTCTCTTTTCACATTCCTAATTGTTTTCTTTGCTGTGCAGAAGCTATTTAATTTAATATAATCCCATTTATTAACGTTTGGCATTATTTCCTGAGCTCTAGGTGTCCTATTGAGAAAGTCATTGACTGTGCGTGTGTGTTGCAGTGTTGACCCTACATTATCTTCTAGGAGTTCATAGTTTCTGGTCTACTTCCAAGGTCTTTGATTCATTGTGAGTTGATTTTTGTGCATGATGAGAGACAAGGGTGTAGTTTCATTCTTCTACATGTGGATAACCAGTTTTCCCAGCATAATTTGTTCAAAAGGCTATTTTTTTTCTCTAATGTATGTTTTGGCCACCTCTGTCAAGGACTAGATGACTGTATCTGTGTGAATTTGTCTCTGTGTCTCCTAGTCTGTATCATTTTTCTATCTAACTGTTTTTATGTCATACCATGAAATTTTTGCTACTACCATTGTGTTGTATAATTTGAAGTCAATGCCTCTAACATTGTTTTGTTGTTGTTGTTGTTTTGACTTAGAATTGCTTTGACTATTCTGGGTCCTTTATTCTTCCAAATGAATATTAGGACTTTGTTTTCTAGTTCTGTGAAAAAATGTCGTTGATATTTTTGATGGGAACTATATTGAATCTGTATATTGCTTTTGGGCAATATGACCATTTTAACAATATTAATTCTGCCTATTGTGAACATGGGAGATCTTTCCATTCTTGTTCCTTATTCAGTTTCTTTGTTCTGTGTTCTTAATTTTCATTGTAGAGGTTGTTTGCCTCCTTGGTTAAATTTATTTCTAGGGTTTTTTGTTTG